AAAAAAAAAATTAAAAAAAAAAAAAAAAAAAAAAGAAGGGGGTGGACAGACACTCCAATGCACGAAGGTGGCGTTCCCTAGTAGCCAGAATCCTAGCTTACCAATTGTGGAAACTTGGGAGGCTGTTTTCACTTTCTTCACCTTGGATACCTCATTGATAAAATGGGAGATGGTAATGCCTCCTTCACAGCTATTGTGACTATTAAGAAATGACAATGTGGATGATCATGGTGCCTGGCATCTATGGGGTTGTGCACGAAGCAGAGCTCTTATCATGGCCGCTCGGGAACTGAGGTGTGGGTCACGGGGGCTCTAGCTTAGGATATGCGTAGGGAGGAAGCAGAGGGGAAAGAAAATTTGAAAGTTGAGTAGGATGAACAACCACCAAGTTGTGCAGGGCTCGTACGCCTGCTAAGGAACTTAGATTTGCTTTCTACAGGCAATGGCAGCCATTAAAAGACAAGCAGTGGGGAAACAGATCTAGAGATGTGAGGCAGAAAGACTATTCAGACAGCTGTGTGTAGGCAGACAGGAGGAGGCAAGACTGGGAGCAAAGCGAGTAGTTACCAGGTGTCAGTTAGTTGGTGTCTGTAAGTAATGGGCATACGGAGTAAAAGCTGCGGAAATGGGTTTTCTACAAGAAAATGAATCAGTTCCACAAATCTAGCCCATAGCTGGGCTCTCTGACAATCACAGGTTATATCTTAGCATTTCAAATGTGGTTTTCTCTCTGAATCTGCCTTTTAGCTTCAACTACGGACTACAAACACAGAAGGAAGTGTGGGAACACGTTACTTTCACTGACCCTGCAGGATTGTTGGGGGCCAAGGTTTATTTTGATCAAAATGTAGGAGTCAGTGTCAGCCACGTGTACTCTATGGTAACATGCAGAACCTTATTTTTTACTTAAGAATTATGGAAAGCAGCCCGTAGGTACCATGATGCAGTTGAAATTCTGTCCTGTTTCCAATCTCCTTCAAAAAGGAAATACAAGCATACCTCGGTTGTTTTGTGTGTGTGTGTGTGTGTGTGTGTGTGTGTGTGTGTGTGCGCGCGCGCGCTTTACCTTACAGTAATGTGCAGATAACTGACATTTTTGCAAATTGAAGGTCTGTGGCAACCCAGCACCAAGCAAGTCTACAGGTGCCATTTTTCCAACAGCACTTGTTCACTTCATGTCTCTGTGTCACATTCAGGTAATTCTTGCAATATGTAGGCATCTTCATTATTATTACATCTGTTATGGTGATCTGGGATCAGTGATTATGATTCACTGAAAGCTCAGTTAATGGTTAGCATTTTTTAGCAATAAAGTGTTTTTAGTTAAGATACGCACGCTGTGTTTTTAACCATAATGCTATTGCACACTTAACAGACTACAGTATAGCGTAAACATAACCTTTGTTTGCACCGGGAAACTAAAACATGCATCTGATTGCTTTACTGCAATATTTGCTTTATTGCAGTGGTCGGGAACTGAACCCACAAGATCTTTGAGGTATGCTTGTATTTAATTTTACTCTCTCAGCCTTCACATCGATCTCTTAGGTGTTCAAAATGATCTGATACTTATCTAGCTGTGTTTGTGGGACAAGGCAAGCTTAGGGTCCCCCTACTCCTCCACCATATCGACTCCTCCCAATCTGCTTGTATTCAATCTTAAAAAGAGAAACTGTCAGAAGTCATAGAACGTAGAGAGTGGTGTCAATGGTGGGATCAATCCTTACCTTAGAGATTCGACTTTCATCCTTCCTCTTGGAGCTCTGCAAAGCTTCTAGATGGTGGCGAGCGCTGTCATAGTCCACCAGCTTCCTGCTGCGTTTTGCAATGCGATTCTGCCAACAAGGAAATACATACAAATAAGGAAAAGGCGTGGTCATAGAGTCTCTTTTTGACTGTTGAAATGTTTTCCTTGTCCAGAGTAACCAAATATCTTGACTAGAGACTGAAGTGAGCCAGAATTTCAGCAGACAAAGGATACCTGGAAATTCTCCAAAATACACCTCCAATTCTTATGTAAAACCATTTATGTAAAAACCATTAGGTAAATATCTTCCCTTTTGATAGTAATTAGGCTGGTCAGTTGAGGGTAGAATGTACGGTCAAAAATCAGAAAATTTCCAGAACTGGTTGAGGAGAGCAGTAAACCTATACTGTCTTTTAGCCTCTCCTCTAAATCATGAAGTGTTCCACTTTGAAGATCATGGAAAACTATGTTAGCATTTGTTTTTACACTTCTTTTTTTTTTTCAATGTTTCTTTTTGAGTCAGAGAGAGCACGAGCAGGGGAGGGGCAGAGAGAGAGAGGGAGACACAGAATCCGAAGCAGGCTCCAGGCTCTGAGCTGTCAGCACAGAGCCAGGTGTGGGGCTCGAGCCCACAAACCGTGAGATCATGACCTGAGCCGAAGTCAGACGCTTAACCGACTGAGCTACCCAAGCGCCCCTGGTTTTACAATTCAAATAACACTCACACCAACAGCAATTCTATAAAACGGATTTACTTCCTAAAAAACCCTTCTTCCTAGAAGTATTCCCCAATCCTTTTGTTCATTAGAATCACCCGAGGAGCTTTAAAAATACGTTGATTCCTAGAGACTCCCACTTCCATTTAGGATACAGACAACTGCAACAAATGTCACTCTCACACCGACAAGAAAAAATGTGGATCATCTATAAAAGGGTAACTCTCATTGATTGTATCAGAGACCTAAGGTCACAAGGCAACAAAGTAATCTGAATTCTTTTATTCAGGAAGAGGGAAAATCCATCCGAGAAGAGATAAGCCAACAGACCATTTGTGCCAACACACCAGGGTACAGGTAACAGCTGTGGCTACCATACAAGTGGACATGAGGAGGTCAGCTAAAATTTCAACAAACTGTTAAAGGCCTAATGTGGGGTAAGGTATCACTTTGGAAAGCTGGGTGGCCAAGGCACGAGGGCAAATTGCACTCAGGGGTAAGTTCTTTCCTTTGGCCTCCCTTGGATGCTGTGAGAAAGTCTGGGAACACGACACTCCCTTGCCGTGCAGGTGAGAATGAGATGAGCTATGGTTACACAGCGTGGGCACCAAACCACGCCTGTGTCAATGGACATTTTTCTCTTACAAGGCAAAAGCTTTAAGTGGCTTAAGGAGGGAGCGAGAAATCCTCCTACTCACAGACCCCAGGCAGAGATCCACTGCTTGATGGTGAAGAGCAGAAGCAAAACCAGTCTGGCCTTGGGGGAGAGGGGGCGGTGATAGAAACCCCTCTGTCCCCTACGCTACATGCAAAGAACACTGTTCCACAAAGAAGGGTAAATGAAAAAGTCCCTACTCATTCGGGGGAGGGGCATAAACCTTCTGGGGCCCAGAGTCTGACCCCTTTAAGACGCAGAGGTCTGTTCCCACTCGGGCAGGGGCAGGAAACTGCTCAAAACCAACCAGAGGGAAAAAAAACAAACAGATGAACACGAGGGAAGAGAGACAAACATAATATAAAAACAGGGAAGGACACAACAGAAGAGACTCATAAATGTGGAGAACAAACTGAGGGTTACTGGAGGGGTTGTGGGAGGGGGAATGGGCTAAATGGGTGAGGGGCACTAAGGAATCTACTCCTGAAATCATTGTTGCACTATATGCTAACTAATTTGGATGTAAATTTTTAAAAAATTGAAAAAAAATTAAAAAAAAAAAACAACCACAGATATGAGGCTGACTTTGCTTCAGACAGGCTAAGAAAGCATACCAGAAGACAGCCTTGCCCCCATGATAAGTCCAATGCTCAATAACAAGCAATAGCTGCCTCCCACTGGTGGGAGAGCAAATATATATGGGGGGCCCCCTTCTGCAATACAAGCATACAAGGAACCAAAATCTGATGGAAACAAGGACACTCAGAAAAATGATCTCGCATCCACGGGCCTGTCCATGTGGGCCAAAGGAGAGGCAAAAACCAGACCTCAACCCGAGTCTAAAAACATGATAGAGGTTAAGAGAGCAGAACAAGGCATTAGCAGCCCAAGTCTAGAGGAATGTGAAAGCCCTTGTGCACTGAAAGTAACAACAGTACCAACAAACCCAAACCACTTCAATTCATCAGATTGACTTGCATCCCCATGCTGCTGGCCTGACGAAAAGATAGGCCCATTTCGAGACATTAATGTTACTTCAGTCTTTACTATTCTACACATGATGCCTGGGATTCATTCTAAAATTATCACACACACACACACACACACACACACACACACACACACAAACACATCCATGAGAAAAAAAGAAAGCAATCCACGAACCAGACTCAGACATGATCCCTCAGACATGTTGGAAATACCAAACAAGAATTGAGTTGCAAAAGGAAGATAACAAACATAAGCAGAGGAATAATGTCTACAGAAATATGGGAACTTTAATAGTCAAATAAAAATCAAATGGAGGGGCACTTGGGTGGCTCAGTGGGTTAAGCATCCGATGTCAGCTCGGGTCATGATGGCACGGTTCATGAGTTCGAGCCCTGTGTTGGGCTCTGTGCTGACAGCTCAGAGCCTGGAGCCTGCTTCAGATTCTGTGTGTCCCTCTCTCTCTCCCCCCTCACACTCTGTCTCTTTCTCTCTCTCAAAAATAAAATGAACGTTAAAAATAATTGAAAATATCTTTCTAAAAAAATCAAATGGAAATGCTAGAAGTAAAAAAAAAAAAAAAAAATGATACCAGAAAGGAAAAATGTCTTTGATAGGCCAATTGCTGTACTTTAGCCAAGAAAGAAGATTGCACTTGAAAATCCATCAAGAGAAATTATTCCCATTAAAACACAAAGAGAACTAAGAGTTGAAAACGTAACAGAATCAAGCATACAAGACCTGATATTAAATGGTCCAACACCGTATCAATGGATTTTCCAAAAGAGATGAGAGGGTAAGTCAGAAGAAATATCTGAGGAGATATTGGCTGAGAAATTTATATAATAATAAAGACATGAAAGAGCAGACCCAAGAAACTCACAAAACCCCAAGAAGGATAAACACCAAACAGTACACATCCAGACACTTGACAGCCAAACTGCTTAAAGTCAAGGATAAAGAAAAGCAGAAAGAACAAGGCAAAGATTACAGCAGACTAATCCTGAGAAACTATGAAGCCAGAATACAATGAAATGACATTTTTAAAGTACAGAAAACAAAAGAAAAAGAAATCTGCCAACTCGGAGTTCTAGTCCCAGTAAAAATGCCTTCCGACAGTGAAAATGGAAAAGTCTTTTTGAGACAAACAAAAGCTGAAAGAACTCACTTTCGTTATGGGAATTTTAATACAAAGTAGAGCTATACAAAAAACAAACAAAAAAAAACCCACAAAAAAACAAAACAAAAAAACATACCAGAAATTATAAAATTCAAGGTAAATATACATGATTTTGGTTTTTTACTTTTAATTGCTTGAAAAAGTAACTGATTATCTAGAGCATAAAAGGAAACAGAAAATATGTACCATGGGGTTTATAACATTTGTAAAGGAAAAACGTCTGATAATAACCGAGGACGGGAGGAAAGAACTGGAAATATATTCTCTATATGAAAGTGCTGTGAGAGTATTCGAAGTTAGACAGGAAAAGTTAAAGACGTGTTATAAATTGTAGAGCAACCACTAAAAAGTTACAGACGTATAACTAATAAGCAAATAATAAGCAAATTTAATTAGTCGAGGCAAGGCCCAGGCATCTGTCCTTTTTTAAAGAATTTTTTAAGTTTATTTATTGATTTTTAGAGAGAGAGAGAGAGAAAGAGAGAGAGGGTGGGGAGGGGCAGAGAGAGAGAGAATTGCGTGCAGGCCTTTCACTATCAGCACAGAGCCCGATGCAGGGCTTGAACCCATGAATCGTGAGATCATGACCTGAGCCAAAACCAAGAGTCGGATGCTTAACCAACTGAGCCACCCAGGCACCCCTGTCCTTTTTAAAAAGATCCCTAGCAGTCCAGTTACAGCTAGTTAGTCCAATCTGAGAACTACAGCAGGAGGAGATCCTTAAAAACACTTTAAATTGTGCACGGAAGGAAGAACAACAATAAAATTATGTTTGTGGCACACAAAACAGTCACAACGCACAGACCCTCAGCAACATCTAGTATGGGTGTTGTAGGGATTATTCCCACTTTACGTATAGAGGATTTTGAGTCGCACGGGATTAACTTCTAACGTGTCCAGAATTGCTCAGAAAGTCTCTGGCAAAGATGAATTAGATGTCAGTTCCCACCCTCCCCCACTCCTGCCCCGACCAGTGCCAGGGGCAGGGAGATGCCCGTGAGACCTGTAGGACACAATATCTAAGAAGGCCCTTACTCTCTGGGTCAAAAACGTGCAGAATCAGCAACCCAGAGCAGGTGCCTCCTTTTAGCTTGAACTCTAGTGCCCTCACCTGCCTCACCCAGTCCCCACCCTGCTCCTGACTCTTGGTTACTCCTCCTTCTAACTGCACCCCTATTTCTCTGACGGACCCCATCATTCAACTACCACTCTATGCTATTCCTCTACACCCCCTTTGGGATTGGTGACAGGTGGGTTGGGGCAGTTACTCTCATTTAGCTGCTTCCAATCCCTTTACCCTCTACACCTGCCACATCCAACTGGTGTTAGTAGTGGAAGGAATGGCTGACTCACACTGGCTTAAAGATATGCAATGAATGAGTCTAGGCAGCATGCAGTGATGCCCTTCAGTGAACTCTGGTGGACACAGTGTGCCTATGAGGTGACAGGGCTCATTATTTTTAGCAAACATCTAACTATTACCTTCAAGGGACCACTGGCCCTTGAAGCAATGGTCTTGTGAGACTCTACGTAATTCTGATAGAGCTCTGCTTTGTGGATATATAGGGTAGGGATCGGGGTGGGGAACTCTTCTTTAGTATTTCCCAAGAAGCAAATCTTGATTCTTTGAAGATGAATGTGATTTTTAAAAGAGCCAAAATTCAGTTACTTCTGAGCCTGAGAATAAGGTGGAAGAGTACACTGGGTCATGTGTTTTGTTTTTTGTTTTTTTGTTTTTGCTCAAAAACAGGAAGTGATGACTCATTTTCTTATGTAACTGACAAGTCAACTACAGAGCAGGGCTTACCAAGGTAGAAGTGACTGTTTTAAAGGCCACCCCTCAGTTTTGTGCTGGAAATACAAATCAATCTTATTTCCTTACCTATCTGATATTTGAAAACATTGAAAAAAAGAAGTCTCATAAGTGAGGGTCGAGTTCATTCACGTTGGCTTTTATATAGAACATGATACAATTCTTATGTCACCATCCAGTGGCAAATTTCATTAAATAAATTCACTAGTTTGATGGCAAATCGTTTAATTAGATGGTTCAATTGAAATTTTTTCAGATTTCCCACTGCACGCTCACCTTATAGAGTAAAAAATTTAATTTACTGTATTTTTCAAAAATTTCGATAATAACCCCAATTTGGATTCACTTTGGCACACTGCCATAAATGTATGTTTAGGTGCTTCTGCGTGGCTGCCAAGACAGAATCTAAACTCCATTTTACAATAACTGCTCAGAGCTGTAAGCCTGCCTGCATTGATGACAAACTGGCTCTTATTCTAGCATTGATTTCAGATGTCAGTGCTGCATAATAAGAACTATAATACTGGGTGCCCTGCCAATCACAGTTGGAAAAATCAAACATCATTCCCTCATGAATGGTACTTCATAGCCCTTGCTGGTGAGCTGCAGTAAATATTTGGAAATTTGCCTGACGTTTTAACTACACTTGGCCTGTTTGCTTTCAATGGAAGTCAAGGAAGTCAATTGTGTTCCATGCTCTGAAAATTCTCTACTCTGTATTTTTAATCATCAGCCTCCTTTCATTCAATAACCCATTCATTACATAATCATTCAGCACTAACGTGACAAAGTGACAGAGCCTACATCCGCTTCTACCTTCCATTCAGTGAGCAAAGACACAGAGAATACCTTAAGTGTATCTTCACAGAAAACAGTCTTTCAAATATGAGAAGCAGCTACCCTGTCTATGCTCTAATTCCAGACAGTTTCCTTTCCTATTGAAATGCAATTTCCTCAACTCTTTGTCATATGAAATGGTTTCATAATTATCTATCTTGGTTGAAACCCTATGTGTATGGTATGATATTCTAAATGTAACTTCAGAGAAAGAGTGATTCTTTCAGCCTCTTTGCATGATGCAGGCAACACCAAGGCATGTATTTCACTTATTTTCAAGACATCCAGGTAGATGATATTATTCCCAAATCTCTACTGTAAAGACTGTTCAGTCACTGAAGGATCATCTTTCTGCATGGCCTCAACCATGGACCTCAAGAACTGCTTAATTAAAAGTTCTATTAAGTTCTTCATCTTTCTGACTTGGAACAAACTGAAAACACTAGCCAATGTCTTTTATAATGATTTTATTTTAATCTATGTTTCAATGCAGGTACTTCTGGGTGTATTTGTCTTATAAAATTATATGCTCCTAGGGTGGCTCAGTAGGTTAAGCATCCGACCTCGGCTCAGGTCATGATCTCACAATTCGTGGGCTCAAGCCCCGTGTCGGGCTCTGTGCTGACAGCTCAGAGCCTGGAGCCTGTTTCAGATTCTGTGTCTCCCTCTCTCTCTGCCCCTCCCATGCTCGTGCTCTGTCTCTCCCTCTCAAAAATAAATAAACACTAAAAATTTTTTAAATTATATGCTCCTAGAGAGTATGGCCAATTTCCAAATAACTATGACTGGCAAGTACCATAACTACTGAGATCCTCCACATTTTTTTGATGATACCAAGTTTTTGTTCCTGAAACTCAACAACTTTTTAAATGTGTTCTTCTCTGGTCAGTCACAGCCCCCATTTGCTTAGTTAAATCATACTATGAATGTTTAATATATGAATAATTTAGACTAGTTGCAAACTGCTTTGAAATTTTTGACTATGAGGTCAAAGTTTTCCCTTATCTTCTCCTGACATATTTGGAAGTGATTTTTATGGAGATTAAATTACCATGTAATATATGATATCCTGAAGTATGATAGGGACTCTGAGATTGTTTGCTCCACGAGTGTTATAAATTCCAAGACAAAATGTGACTGTCTACCAAATAATCTGAAGATATCCCAAGACACATTCTCTATAGGTTAGTGCATGCAGCCTCACAGAATTCTAAAATTTTTTCAGTTTAATTTTTACATTTCTCAGAAAACTTTCAAAAGCCAACCTATACCTTTTAATGAGGATACGGTCCTGCAATGGCTCAATAAAATGTCTTGCATATTATGATAACATAACTGAGAATCCATCATTTGGATTTGTTCTCTGTTACATTTTGCCACCAAGGCTAATGTACCTCGTCTGATCCCCCTGAGGTTCTTGTCTGGTGCCCCTGTGTCCCAAAATAACACTTCGGATGTTGGCCAACTAGTTGTTAGGTATTCTGTGTGGGACCAAGGAAATTAACATCACTGATAGGTGTGCTGTTCTGGCTGAGAAGCTTCACTATGTTTCATGGCCATGGCTACAAAGCAGGCCAGGTAAAAGTGGACCTTCACATAAGAAATCACTGAATTAAGGCACTGCAGGTGGGTGGATGCAGGTTCATGGCTTCCTTCACACTAAAGGAAGGGCAGCACAAGGTTATCTTACTTGGTCTCTTACTTGAGCAGGAAAGACAATGGGGGGTGGGGGTCGGGCAAATCTATTAATGCTACCATTTGCTATATACAGCCCTGAAGGTTTAAAAACCATGTCTACCTCCAGAGTTAATTCCAAATCTATGATGTTCAATCCTTCACTTATATATTTCCCTTTCAATGAATCCAAGTGTCAAATAAGACAAATGTTCTAGACAAGGTATTTTTAGATCCAGATGCTAATGCACTTGAAATGCTTGTATCTTAACAATTCAATTGGAAGCAGAAAATTTTAAGGAGAGAAAAAATATGCAGGTGTGTTACGAATAGTAAACACGGGAAGATCACATTTTTTTGCTCTCATGTTCGCAATGAAGTTTTCTCCTTTCCTTGTGACCGCTGTTTATTCTAATGGAAATTCTTATCAAACGCTATGCAATAAAAAAGGTCTGAACATAAAGAAGATTAGAATTTTTGGTATCTGGTTTGCAATTTTATATCTAGAGTATTAAAAAGATGTCTGCAGAGAAATAAAAGTTGAAGCAGTCTGCCAAAGGGGAAAATGTCATTTCTGTAGCTACATTTCATTTCAAAACTGATAGGAACAGGATCACGCGTCCATGCTTAAATGAATGAAAAGTTACCGTCTTTGATGTCAGCTTGAGGACTCTGAACTCCACTTATCCCTTACCTGTGTTTCTTTTATTTTATTTTATTTTATTTTTTTTAACGTTTATTTATTTTTGAGAGAGAGAGAGAGAGAAAGAGAGAGAGAAAGAGTGCACAAGTGGGGGTGGAGCAGAGAGAAAGAGGGAGACACAGAATTCAAAGCAAGCTCCAGGCTCTGAGCTGTCAGCACAAAGCTCCATGTAGGGCTCGAACTCACGAACCATGAGATCATGACCTGAGCCAAAGTCAGACGCTCAGCTGACTGAGCCACAGAGGCGCCCCTCCCTTGCCTGTGTTTCAATTAGTCCATGGAACCATTCAATTCCTCCCATTATAGACACAAAGTAAAATACCTTTATGTCAGGAAATTGGCCCAGATAGGTATCCAGTGTCAGCAAGGACCCATCCACTAGTTTCTGATGGAAGTCTTCCCACAGGACATCACATTTCTGAAAGAAAAAAGAGAAAAAAGAGATTACTGCTGAATGATTTTAATTGGATCCTTTTCACCAAACTTCTGAAAAATCAAAAATGACAAAATTAGATAAATAGGACTCCCCTGATAGTAGAGGCCAGAAGAAAAGGTGGATTCTTTAATAATACAATACAATTTCAAGGCAACTTGACTACCAGTTCCAGTTTACAATATAGGGTACCGAGGATACAGACTACATTTGCCAGCCTGTGGCACAGCTAAGCACAGCCCACGGGACTAAGGTCTGGCCAATGGGGTGAACTTTCAGGAGGTGTCCCTAAAAGGAGGCTTATCTTCCACGCTTCCTCCTTCTACCAACTGGGAGGCAGAAGTGAGAGCTGATGGCCAGTGCTCAGAGAATCATACCGAACCTGGAGGGAGCAGTGAGGAAGGCAACGATGGGCCCCTGTTGTCCCCATACCTGGGCTGCTCACCTGCAAAGCCCTTTAGGGGAGAGAGATAACATTCTATCTTTTGAAAGCTACTTTTGGGGGCTTATTTGCTTTTGTTTCTTTTTCACACTTCAATACTCACCCTAATTATTACAGATCCCCATCCACAAATTTCACGCAAATGGAAAAAAGAATTTAAATCCTCTGCATGAAGAGGCTCATCTTCTGAGGCGAACAGATGCCCTGAACACATAGCGTTGAGCTCCTTCACCATCAGAAGAGGCCGTATTTGGATCTGCAACTAAAGGTTCCAAAAGTCTTGGCAGGACCTACGAGGACCAAGGTGGAATTCCAGCATTTCCTTACGGAACAAATGTCAACAGTGGGATCTGCCGTGCAGAGAACGAAACACGATGCTCTGAAAAGCTATTAATGCACGTTTCTATTATTCCCTTAAGAAGTCTTCCTTTCATGATGAATTTTGAATTATACACCATTCACCAGAAATTGGTCATACAAGTGAAGCATTTAACAACAAGATGTTGAAACAGCGTCTTTATACTGAAAAAATGTGAGAAGAAGGAATTACTTAGTAATTGTATTGGAGACGGTGTGTGGAGGCTGGTTCTGCCAGATTCATTTTCTGAAAGTTTTCTAAAGAAGTAACAGGGCCAATAAGAACTTTCCTCCTAATTAAAGCTCTGCTTCTATCTCAGTCTTAACAAGATTATGGAAATCAGTGTGGGGATGTCAGAATTTTCACGGAGCAGCCTGGGGCTGCACTGTTAACTCATCTTTCCAAAGGCTGCGTAGACAGCACATCACATGTCAGACCTCTTGAGCTGGGTGGCCGCATCCCTTAGGAAGGATCCCTTACAAGGATCCCTTCTGTGCCTGAATGTTCATCAATGAGCTCACGTGAGGTGGGTATGACAAACACTGTTCTTTAACAAAGAACTTGGACACGAGAGAACTCCCGACAGGTGGCTTGCTATTACCAGTAAGAATCACGTGTATCGAGCATCATGTCGATGACACGAACACGCAGACTTTAAACGTGTTATTTGTGGGTATGATTCTTAGTCTCACTTCACAGATGAGGAAGCTAACGCCTAAGAAGATTAAAGAATCCATCAACTATCATAGAGATCATTCTTGGTCTCCACCCCATTCTCCTTCCCCAAAGCAGAAAATACCCGCTTTATCACTTCCCGCCAGCCAGATGGCCCTCGGCTAGAAATTGGATTTTGGGTGTTCAGACATGTCTAGGGACAAAGGCTTCTGGAAGTTACATTGCTATTAACAGGCTGTCCGCATCGGTCCTTTGGATCTGCAGACCAGCGAGTGGACCAGTGGCATTTAAGTGAAATAGATGCTTTTTGCACCTCCTGATCCTGTTTTCCAGAAGGGATGGGAAAAGCAAGGTTGCAGGGGTGAAGTCAGTACAGAGAGTCATGCCATGAGCCAGTTCTGTTGCAATGAGCTAAGATGTGTAGACAGAAAAACACTATTCTTATTTCGGTTTATAACAGTTCACTAATCACCGTGTATTTGGCATGCTCTTGATGCCAGAACTAAACAGCGTCTTCGGGCTACATAGCACTCCCCTCCCACCTTCACGATTAAGGCTGTGAAGAGGTAAGACAGGGGTCAAGGGATAGAGTAAGTGAGTGGGACTTGGCAGCAGCCTGGCAGAGACCCCCCAGGCCTCCTGTGGTGCATGATCCTGGCTCTTACCTCGCCCACCATCTTCACATCTTCCCGCCCATACCAATCAGGCTCATAGACTTCGTGCAGCGACTCGGTGAGCTTCATGGAGGCTTCTTGCATGGCTGGTGTTGGAGAGAAAACAACTCTTGTTGGATATAAATTGGTGAGGTGCCTATTCCTCTTTCCCCTACTTTTATTTTTTTTAATATTTATTTATCTTGAGAGAGAGAAAAAGAGAGAGGAAGAGCAGGGGAGAGAGAGGGGGAGAGAGAGAGAGAGAGAGAGAGAGAGAGAGAGAGAGAGAGAATCCCAAGCAGGATCTGTGCCGTCAGCAGACAGCCTGATGTGGGGCTTGATCCCACGAACCCTGAGATCATGACCTGAGCCAAAAGAAAGAGTCGGATGCTCAACCAACTGGGCCACCCCGGTACCCCTCCCCTACTTTTCTAAGAGAAGAATACCTTGGGGCGCCTGGGTGGTGCAGTCGGTTGAGCGTCCGACTTCAGCCAGGTCACGATCTCGCGGTCCGTGAGTTCGAGCCCCACGTCAGGCTCTGGGCTGATGGCTCAGAGCCTGGAGCCTGTTTCCGATTCTGTGTCTCCCTCTCTCTCTGCCCCTCCCCCGTTCATGCTCTGTCTCTCTCTGTCCCAAAAATAAATAAATGTTGAAAATAAATAAATAAATAAATAAATAAATAAATAAATAAAAGAGAAGAATACCTTGACTACCCACTAATCTTTTAAGGAAAAACTGTGAAGGCATGACTGTTACTTTCGACTGTATTCACAACTTCCCGGGAGGGTCTCCTACTGACCCGATTACATTGTGCGTTTCTCATTATTTACATGGTAATGACTGATACAGAGCCTTGAAAAAAATCAACAAGGTGTCCTATTCTGAAAACAACAAGAGTAACGTGTTCTATCACGTGTGCGGTCACTTACGAAGTGGCACGGAACCATAAATACACAGGACACCCAGAAAACTGGCCCATAAAACTACAGAGTTCCAAAATTAAAATTAATCCTAAATGGCTTTAAATATAAGAAATAAAGACCATCTATAGAAGCAGGTTGAAGCAAAATTAACAGGATTCTAGGGCCTCCCAGCTGAAAGTGGTTGAAGTGGCCTAAACATTTTCAAAAGAAAAAAAGAAAAGTTTTTCTAATGTTACTAGAAGCTACATATACAGTTTTAAACCAGAACGCTCAGAAAGCTTGGAGTTCTTAAGTCTACGGGTCACAATGTTCATTAGACATGGCTTTGGTGTGTTGCATAAATATGGCTGTTAAATAATAGGAAAGATATAAAGTATCACCAAGTCTGTTCCACTCTCCGATCTGCTCCTCCTTCCAAACAGGGAGGGCACAGTGTGGACTGTGTAGAGACAGCACAGGGCCCAGAACAGTCCAAAGTGCGTTCATTGACTGTAGGTGTCCCCTGTGGCAACAAGCCCTCCCTACCAGCTGGAAGCTGAGACCTGTCCTGGCTGGCGTCTTGGCCTTTGTCACTAGGGGATATGAAAAAGAGCTGGCTAAGAGGAGAAAAGAGGAAAGTCAGAGTGCAATCATTAGAAATGAAAAGCATCCCTTGGGGTGCCTAGGTGGCTCAGTCAGTTAAGCTTCCGACTTCGGCTCAGGTCATGATCTTGCAGTTCGTGAGTTCGAGCCCCGCATTGGGCTCTGTGCTGACAGCTTGGATCCTGGAGCCTGCTTCTAATTCTGCACCTCCCTCTCCCTCTGCTCCTCCCCCACTTGTGCTCTGTCTCTCTCTCTCTCTCTCCCCAAAATAAATAAACATTAAAAAATTTTTATAAAAAAAAAATGAAAAGCATCCCATAAACTTAATGCCAATGACTCCATGATGGAAAGTTTTCTATGAGACTGAAGGCTGCAACAATCTAGACTCAACTACATGCTTGTTGGATTTAAGGGAGCCGATTCTGGGTTGAACCACGAGAAAAGGACAAAATAAAAGATGTCCGAAGTGAGAGAAGTGTATCCTTGAAGAGTATGTGCAAAAGTCAACATGGTATTTCACAGTATGTTTTCTCTCTAGGTTATAGAACCACCCCCTACCCGCCTTCCCCAGATAAGCTGCAGGTAACAGATTTGGTCTTTGCAAGCAACAAGTTTGAAGGTTTCAGGGCAACACGAAGCATGAAAGCCTACAACCCTGTCTCCACAAGGTACGTCACCGAGCACACTGAAGGATGCCCTTTACAACACACCGTACAGCCTACACCAGCTGAAACAACTTGGCGACCAAAAGATGAAACCCCAGAGGTGACACCATGAAGTTATGTAAGTGGAGAGACAGCCAAAAAATAATGCAAACACCTGCACGTGTCCCCTAGCACACTCCGAGTGCAAGCCAAGGAGAATGTTCCTTCTTGTTCATGTGGCCGCTGCTGACGAGTGACAGTATCTCCAGCGTCCACATTCACCCCTCCCCAAGTAAAAGCAAGCCTCTACTAAGAAATGAACCCCTCAGGGCGCCTGGGTGGCTCAGTCGGGTTAAGCGTCTGACTTCGGCTCAGGTCATGATCTCACGGTTCGTGGGTTTGATCCCTGTGCCAGGCTCTGTGCTGACAGCTCAGAGCTTAGAGCCTGCTTTGGATTCTCTGTCTCCCTCTCTCTCTGCCCCTTCCCCGCTTGCACTCTCTCCCTGTCTCTCAAAGGTGAATAAATGTAAAAAAAAATTTTTTAAGTGTACCCCTCAAAAATTAGTGACTAGTTGATACCATTCTATAATTCAGATGCCAAAAGCCTTCTCTGAAGTTTTCTCTTAAATCTTTGTCTTAGGTCTGATGGAAATTATAAACAGCTGTGTAGATAGGGTCTCAAAGTTTCAAGGGGAAGAAAAAGAAATGATGGGGTTGCAGGTCAAATAACCTTTGTGGTGAAAAATAAAACTGTGAATGTAAGCTTAAAATAAAATTATATAAGACCTTCCTCATTGAGGCTAAAAGCACAATGTTGCAGTAAATATGTCTCCCAGCAGCCAAAAATAACTGCTAATTGCTGTGTGGATAAGTAGTGATGGAGAATTTGGAAAGAATCCATTTTGACATAGAAATTGTTTCTAGAACACTCCATGGGAAGTACTTGGATGGATACATAAGGAATGCCATGAAGAATGGCAGAGATTTTAGGGATTTAGAACCTACTCTGCTGACAGAGCATAAGAGAAAAACTAAAAAGCTAAAACCCAAGTCCCCTTCAAAGTAGCTTGGCGACATCAAAGCAAAGTGGATGCTAAATGCTACCTCTGGCATTTAATAATATCTATATCCAGTATTTTCTTAAAATATTAGTGATCTCCAAAAGTGCAAGATGGGCACCCAATATCATACACAGAATTATTATTCTACTATTGGGTAGGAACCACTTCCCTTGCTTTAAAATTTTGGACTTTCTCCAAGGCATTTACTGCAACATCCTCTCTCTTTCCCTTTGCCACCAAATTTGTGAGCATCTATTTTCACCCTCTAAGATTGGATGCAGAGATTACACTGCTACAAGAGTCCTCCTTGTACAGCCTGAGGGTGTATGTTCTAGTTAAAAATACCATCAGTTAAACTACATTATGACAATAACCAGCAGCAGCTATAAACCATCACAGGAGTATCTAAAATATTGTATCTGGCAGTTTGGCCTATTATTTAGAAGGGAGCTGTTTAGGAAGTCAGCAGTTGGCTCTGAGGAAAACAGGAGAAGAAGCCTTTCTTCCAGAGACTTAAGAAGGAGTGCAAATATAGGAGTAGGAGTCGGGGGTGGAAGGGGGAAGGCAGATTGTGAGATAGCTCAAGGACAGTCAACTCTACCACTGGGTCATGCTTACACATGATAAGCCACGTACAACTAAAAATATTGATGACACCAGCTGGACCATGCTCCATTTAGAGGAAGATCTGGTGTGTTCATCGCCCCTGCGTCTGGCCTCCACTGCCACCCACAGAGGGGTGACTCCCAATTCCAAATCCCTACTGGACATCTCCTCCTGGATGTGCTGATACTTCACGCTTCACATGCCCAAAACCAACTCTGAACTTCCTGTCAAAACCTGTTCCTACTCCTTTTCCCAGTCCTCGTGGATGTCACCCCATGGTCCCAGTTACAAAACTGGGAGTCATCCCAGATTCATCCTCCCAGAGTGAGTGCATCACCAAGGCACATCAATTCGGCCTGATTCTCAAATGAAGCCCTTTGCTTCCATGCCCCCTCTCACTGCCCTAGACTGGACTGGACACCCATCATCGATCATTTGGTGCAGATGAAAGAATCCATGGGAACAGCTGAGCAAAGTACTTAGCCAAAGAGAACATTCAAACGTCAGCCATCTTTATGAAAAATAATTTTGAAGGCATTATGACATGATAATTAAAACTATTATTCACAATCAGCCTTTGTTAAAATCTTGGTTCCAACACACGTGCTCTGTGTGATCTCAGGCAAATTACCTAACCATCCTAGACCTCAGTTTTCCAAAGTGTATGTTATTTTTAAATACATGCCATAAGCCACAGTAAAAATTCTATGAAATGAGGCTTAGTAAAAACTTACCTCAGTGCCTAGCACAGAAATGCTCAATAAATGCTAGCTATCATCATCATCATTATTAAATACCGGACTAGACTTCTAAGAAGTCTCCTTGCAGCTTTATCCCCTCGAGCTTGAATCCCACAAAACCACAACAACTATTTTTCTAAAATGCTATTCTGATCACATGATTCATTCCCTTGTCTACAATAATGTAATGACTCTCTTCCCTGCGGAGAGAATAAAGCCCCAATATGATATGATGCATAATCACTTGTCTCTACGAACAACTGCCTACCTTTCCACGTCTCATCCCTCTCAGATTCTTGCTTACCCCTCAATGATCCATTTGTTCCCTAAAGAGCCCATGCTTCTTTCTGCCTCCCTGGCCTCTGTACATGTTTCTTCTACCTGGAAGTCCTTCCAACATCAACCTTAGTCTCCAGTGTATCTTATCACTTGATGACTACTTATACTCCCTTCCTGGGTCCATTTACGTCTAGGTTCTTGACCTGGTCTCCTGTCCCTCAGGTAGGAGTCTGTCCCGTTGTGATGCGCTTCTGTTAAAGTATGTATTACTATGCACATTTGGCCCTTTTGTTTATTTAACTTTCTTCCCGTCTCTGCTGCCAGCTCCATGAAAATAGGTACTGTGTCTTGTCATCTCTGCATCTCCACTCCTAGAACAGCATTGAGTCCATAAACAGGGCTCAATGTGATGTGCGCTGCTAAAATGAACAAGAACACCAGATTTACTTTGCAAACCCAAACATCCGCAAAAATAGTGCCAACCTACAGAGAAGAATGGCACCCAAAGACCAGTGATAAAATGAAGAGTAACCCAATTTCCCAGAGTCCTCGTGGGAGAGATGTGGAGGGTTTCTGAGAGAAACTGGAGCACCTTATGGACAAGGAACCCAAGGCAGCTGAGAACCTGGTGATGTTCCCACCAATGTCCCTGAGACCAGACACAGGGGCCATCACTCCCCAGGGCCAGATCTCCCTTCTCGGTAATGCTGCTTGCATTACAGTACAATTAGTTAGCCGGTGTTCTTTTTTTGTGAAAGCCAGGAGAGTTGGCCATGAAAGCCCTTTGAAAACCCAAATGATGACCCATTTGATGCCTACCCCTTGTCTTTCTGTGTGTTCCCAAACCCCAAAATGTGCTCCAAGGAACATTAATTCTAAGACTTTGAGAAAAACATTCCACAGCCGAATACCTGGTAAAATGCTGCTCACCCCACAGACCTTCTGGAGATAATATGAACATATTAAGGGCCCTGTAGTAATACACTCTGTAATAGCCTGTTTGAAAATTCATTCCAACCAACCTTGACCAAAGTAATGTAAACACAGGTCTCTTTTACAGAGTATCATTTGTTAACAAAATGTGCTCGGGAAAAGCTGCTGTAAGGTCCTCTCTCCTCCATATGGGGATGCAACCATCAGAAGTGGAAGCAGGACACAGTCTGCAACACTGAAAGGGTGCTTTGATGCTGCACCAACGTCTCTCTGGAGCTGACTCTTCACTCAGTGGAGTCTCCTAGATCACGTTAAGGAAAAGAATTCTTCGCGTCTTAAATGCTTAAAGCAGTGATCTTCCTATTCGGGAAGCAAAACTGACCAAAATATATAGACTTTGGGAAGGAGACTGAATTCACCCATTCATTTAACACATTTATCCACATGAAAAAAAAAAAATCATCCAACATAAAGAAAGTCCTGGGCTTGAAATAATCCATGACAGCTTGTGTCCAACAGTAAAAGAAATACCTAGAGTGCCTTCTAGTTTCTGATCGAATTGTTATAAATACCTAGGGTTAATTTTTTTTGAACAGTTAACTATGAGCTCTATGGATCTGTGAAAGTTCTCGGAGCCTTACTTTAAAAACGTAAGCCAAGGCTATCATTTATCATATAGCTGTGTCGGCTGGTTACAAAGAGGTAATATGCCCATGCTTAGCACACAGCCTGGCACGCAGAAGTGCTCATTCCATAGTAACAGTATAGTAAGTTACCATTATCCCACTGGAAAGATGAACTCTCATTTGTGAAACCAATGCCCTACTAACAGTCACATAGCCCAGAGCCTGGATAAGACAGTGGGTAAAAAAAAGCAAGGCTACAACATGGATGTACCTAGAGGGTATTAAGTGAAATAAGACAGTGAGAGAAAGCCAAATACCATATGATTTCACTTATATGTGGAACTGAAGAAAACAAATGAACAAACAAAAGAAAAAAAGAGACCAAAAAACAGACTCTTAACTATAGAGAACAAACTGGTGGTTGCCAGAGGGGAGGTGGATGGGAGGATGGGGGAAATAGGTGAAGGGGATTGAGAGTACACTTATCGTGGGGCACCTGGGTGGCTCAGTCGTTAGGCATTCGAATTCGGCTCAGGGCATGACCTTGCGGTCCATGAGTTCGAGCCCCGCATCGGGTTCTGAGCTGTCAGCACAGAGCCCAGAGCCTGTTCAGATTCTGTCTCTCCTCTTTCTGCCCCTCCCTTACTCACACTCTGTCTCTCTCTCTCTCTCTCTCTCTCTCAAAAATAAACATTAAAAAAATAGAGTACATTTATCATGATGAAAATTGAGAAATATACAGAATTGTTGAATCACTATATTGTACACCTGGAACTAATATAACACTGTATGTTAATTATACTTCAATTAAAAAAAAAAAGCAATGCTTTAGGAGACATGTGGACCAGAGAATGTATCTTGGCCCTGTTGGTTACTAGTTCATGACCTTGGACAAGCTATTTAACCTCTCTGTTCCTCCCTTTTCTTACCTGTAACCCAAAGGCAATGCAAGTACCTGCCTCAGAGCTATCATGAGAATTAAAATTATATGCCCACCCTATAAAAGCTTAAATACATTTTAGTTTTAAAAATAAATTTCATGGGGTGCCTGGGTGGCTCAGCCAGTTAAGTGTCCAACTCTTGATCTGTTTGGCTCAGGTTGTGAGACAGCAAGTACCCATCTTGCTTTGCTAACAGCACAGAGCCTGCTTGGGATTCTCTCTTTCCGTCTCTCTCTGCCCCTCCCCCATTCTCTCTCTCCAAATAAGTACATAAACTTTACAAAAAAATCAATTTCACTAATTTATTATGACTAATTTTTAATTAAGATTGTTAATATCATCATTTCATTACTTACCGCTATCTTTATAATCAATTTCACACATCCACAATGAAACTGTTAGAATAAATCCTTGCAACTGGAACCACTATGTCAAAAGGTACACACACCCCCTTCCCCAAAAGACACACGTAGAGGCTTTTGCCAAACTGCCCTCCCAGGAAAGCTGTCCTATCAGCAGCGTACAAGAGGGGTCTGCTCCCCACAGCTTTTCCGATGCTACGTATCATGGTCTCTTTTTTTATCTCAGTGTCTTTGAACATGTGGAGGGAAAATGGCCGCATCTTCCTTCTGATATCATTTAAATATTCTTTGATTATCCATCTATGAGGATAAGCATTTTTCACACTTACTACCCACCGACCAGTTCTTCTCTGGCTAATTTTCTCTTCATATGTTCTACCTATTTTTTTTTCTTTTAATCAACTGATATTCATTTAGTTTATCTCCTGAGCTCTTAATATCTTGGTTCACTTTCACTAAATATGTTGTCGAAATAATTATTTAAGTATGTATGGAAGTCTGACATATTCTTGAGGTCAAATCTCTCAATCTTATGGTTACCTCTTTTGGGTTACCCTTTGTAAAGACCTTGTCACCCAAGACTAGGGGCTATTAAGTCCATGGTATTTTATTCCAGTCCTTTAGAACATCTCCTTGCATACATATTTAACTCTTTACTAGATCTGTAAGTGAGAAGGACAGACTAGAGTGCGAGGCTGAGAATCTTACTTTCTTCTGAGAGTTTGGCAAGTTTATCCAAGACCCCTGGCAGAGATCCATTCTCCCCTACTACTCTCGAAGTCTGCGCTGTGAGCCATCACATCCACAGGTACACCTGACCCGACTCAGTGCAGGCAGCTGGGCAACAAAGAGCAGGCAGGGACAGAGCATACCTCCCTGCCGCCCTCTTCTCGCCCCACCCACCTCATTCTTTTGACTTGCATGGCTGAGGCCAGAAACCAATGTCACGGCCTCTCTGTCTCTGCCCAGTGACAGGGCTGCAAGTGCAGAAGGTCCCCACAGGTCACAGGTGGTCCAGGGCCTTGATTTCTGATAGCCCTCCATCTGCCTCTGCCACGACTCCTTGCCCCTTCCAGCTGGAGGCCTTGGGTGTGAGTCTGTGAGTGTGCTCCTCTTGGGACACGTTCTCCCTTGAATTGTAAACCAGCTGCAGCTTTTCTTAAACAAGGTCTCAAGCTCACTCGATCTCTCGACGCTTCCTAGAAGTCTCTGGTGTGGGAGGCACTTTTTCCTCCTTTCCAGCATCACAGTAGACATCTTTTTTTCTTGTATATTCTGATTATCATTTCAATGGGATTTGGGGAGTGGGTGGAATGAACACCTGTGCTCAAGTACCCATCTTGCCAGAAAGCCAACTGGCTTTGTAATTAACGCTGAATCCTGCCACTCGTGATGAACAATCTGGGCTTGGGGACATGCAGTAAACAACCCACACACATTTACCTTTGATAGCTGCTAAATATCCTCGGAGTTCTCGCTGAAGCCTGGTACCCTCTGCCTGAAAAACACACAAACACAGAGATGCTAAGCATCTTGTCTATATTTTGCGTGGAAACATGCGAGAGGCAGTAAGTCCCAGAGTTTATTATTACCAGAGGCTCATTCTTGAAAGAGCATAAATATGTACACACACAGACTAAAGAAGGCGCCTGTCAGTGTTGATATTTATAGAGATTTTATTCAGCTTAAAAGTAAAGGAAAAGGCAAGTGACATTTTGCTGAGAATGGAAACTATACCCACCAGACGGCCTCCCATATACTCAAGAACTAGCAAGTCCATAAATTTTGACGCATGGAATACGATAGTAGGAGACCGATCACCACTGTTAAATATGGTAGCTATTAGCCACATGAGGCTGACCACTTGCAATGTGGCTGGTCCAAAGAGAAATGTACCGTAAAGTGTAAAATACCAGATTTCAGAGACTTCTTTCAAAAAAAATCAAATTGGGGGTGCCTGGGTGGCGCAGTCGGTTAAGCGTCCGACTTCAGCCAGGTCACGATCTCACGGTCCGTGAGTTCGAGCCCCGCGTCAGGCTCTGGGCTGATGGCTCAGAGCCTGGAGCCTGTTTCCGATTCTGTGTCTCCCTCTCTCTCTGCCCCTCCCCCGTTCATGCTCTGTCTCTCTCTGTCCCAAAAATAAATAAACGTTGAAAAAAAATTAAAAAAAAAATCAAATTGATATGTTTTATGTCAATTACATGTTAAACTCATAATATTTTGGATATACTGAGTTAAATAAACTGCATTATTGTTTTTGTTTTGAGAGAGAGAGCATGAACAGAGGAGAAGGGCAGGGGAGAAAGAGAGAATCATAAGCGACACAGGGCTCGATTTTACTTCTCCAGGATCATGTCCTGAGCTGAAACCAAGAGTTGGATGTTCAAATGATGGAGCCAACCAGGTCCCCCGATAAACTGTATTATTAAAATTAATTTCATGATTTCTTTTCACTTTTAAGATGTGGCCACTAGAAAATTTTAAATTACGTACGTGGATTGCATTATATTATTATTGGACATCACTAAAATAGAGAACCTCTGAAATAATAAATTTTGACATAGAAATCTTTGTTTTGGTTTGGATAAGGCTTAGCAACTCTGAGACTAAGATTACGCTGCCAGGACTGGAGAAATGAGGCAAGGAAGGAGGAGACCCTTGCATGCATGATCAAGCAGTTGCCACAGTGGGCAGCCCAGCCTCAGTGCCACTGGGAGCTCTGGGAGAAAGTATCAAACACCCTTTAGATATCCTAACTGGGGAGCAAGGGAAATGGGACATTCAGCCATCAACTCCTGTCAGTCATTGGTTGAGGGCTGTTCCTTGTGGGGGGGATACAGGAAAAAAGTCCTCAGACAAACAGCTGCTCTTGCGAGCAGTAGCAACTAAATCCAGTGGGCTCAGAAAGGGTAGCTACTAGGTCCCTGCAACTGAAAATATTTTTAAAATGTGCATTTTAGCCGCACAACCACTCAACAAACTTGCGGAGAGCTAGCACACAGAATGACTCCACCTTGATAATTAATAAAACAGCAACTATAGTTTAAGTCTAACTTGATAGTTAAAAATACAGCAACTATCATAACCACATTCAATTCAGCAAGCATGTGTTGGTTAGCATATAGCAAAAAAAAAAAAAATGTGGGGAGGGGAGGAAGTAAAAAGGGGAAAAAAACCCTACTTCCTTCAATGATTGCAGTCTAGCGGAGGAACCAAAGTATTGAAATAAAAACTGCATTCCAAAGCAGGTTACATTTAGCTCTGCAGTAACCATTCAAAATATTTGGGAGTACAAAGTAAAGACAAAATGCCCATCATGTGTAAAGATAGATAGTAATTAATACAAAGCAACCGTGGAAAGGAATGTTTAAGACTATGGCTATCTGAAAAGGGCTTCTGGATGAGAACATTCTCCTATATGGTATAGTATGCATGGTGTCTCAATATGGTTTAAAATGAAAACTCTTAAGTTTCCCTTCTCCTGTTGAACCATTCAGAAACACCCTATGAAGGCAAACTGCCATAAGCTAGATCAAAACGAAACAAAACACCTTTCTGGATTTCCAAAACATCAAAGATTAGAGTGGAAAACTATGGGGAATGGGTGAGGAGAATGAATAGAAAATATTGATGGTCTTGATTTGTATTTCCCTGATGAGGAGCAACGTTGAGCATCTTTTCATGTGCCTGTTGGCCATCCGGATGTCTTCTTTAGAGAAGTGTCTATTCATGTTTTCTGCCCATTTCTTCACTGGGTTATTTGCTTTTCGGGTGTGGAGTTTGGTGAGCTCTTTATAGATTTTGGATACTAGCCCTTTGTCCGATATGTCATTTGCAAATATCTTTTCCCATTCCATTGGTCGCCTTTTAGTTTTGTTGGTTGTTTCCTTTGCTGTGCAGAAGCTTTTTATCTTCATAAGGTCCCAGTAATTCACTTTTGCTTTTAATTCCCTTGCCTTTGGGGATGTGTCGAGTAAGAGATTGCTACGGCTGAGGTCAGAGAGGTCTTTTCCTGCTTTCTCCTCTAGGGTTTTGATGGTTTCCTGTCTCACATTCAGGTCCTTTATCCATTTTGAGTTTATTTCTGTGAATGGTGTGAGAAGGTGGTCTAGTTTCAACCTTCTGCATGTTGCCGTCCGGTTCTCCCAGCACCATTTGTTAAAGAGACTGTCTTTTTTCCATTGGATGTTCTTTCCTGCTTTGTCAAAGATTAGTTGGCCATACGTCTGTGGGTCTAGTTCTGGGGTTTCTATTCTATTCCATTGGTCTATGTGTCTGTTTTTGTGCCAATACCATGCTGTCTTGATGATGACAGCTTTGTAGTAGAGGCTAAAGTCTGGGATTGTGATGCCTCCTGCTTTGGTCTTCTTCAAAATTACTTTGGCTATTTGGGGCCTTTTGTGGTTCCATATGAATTTTAGAATTGCTTGTTCTAGTTTCGAGAAGAATGCTGGTGCAATTTTGATTGGGATTGCATTGAATGTGTAGATAGCTTTGGGTAGTATTGACATTTTGACAATATTTATTCTTCTAATCCATGACCAGGGAATGTCTTTCCATTTCTTTATATCTTCTTCAATTACCTTCATAAGCTTTCTATAGTTTTCAGCATACAGACCTTTTACGTCACACTCAGATATCACCTCACGCCAGTCAGAGTGGCCAAAATGAACAAATCAGGAGACTATAGATGCTGGAGAGGATGTGGAGAAACGGCAACCCTCTTGCACTATTGGTGGGAATGCAAATTGGTGCAGCCACTCTGGAAAGCAGTGTGGAGGTTCCTCAGAAAATTAAAAATAGACCTACCCTATGACCCAGCAATAGCACTGCTAGGAATTTACCCAAGGGATACAGGAGTACTGATGCATAGGGGCCCTTGCACCCCAATGTTTATAGCAGCACTCTCAACAATAGCCAAATTATGGAAAGAGCTGAAATGTCCATCAACTGATGAATGGATAAAGAAATTGTGGTTTATATACACAATGGAGTACTACATGGCAATGAGAAAGAACGAAATATGGCCCTTTGTAGCAACGTGGATGGAACTGGAGAGTGTGATGCTAAGTGAAATAAGCCATACAGAGAAAGACAGATACCATATGTTTTCACTCTTATGTGGATCCTGAGAAACTTAACAGAAACCCATGGGGGAGGGGAAGGAAAAAAAAAAGAGGTTAGAGTGGGAGAGAGCCAAAGCATAAGAGACTCTTAAAAACTGAGAACAAACTGAGGGTTCATGGGGGGTGGGAGGGAGGGGAGGGTGGGTGATGGGTATTGAGGAGGGCACCTTTTGGGATGAGCACTGGGTGTTGTATGGAAACCAATTTGACAATAAATTTCATATATTAAAAAAAAAAAGAAAAGAAAATATTGATGGTCAACACGTGCATAAATGTAGAGGATGAAGGGGATCCAGGGAAGAAACAGGTGCAGATAGTCCAACATCTCTAACACCACCACAAAAAGAATTTGGGGAAGAAAGAAGTAGGTCTTTCCCACATTGATATCTATTATATGACAAGCACTGTGTCAGATTCTGAGTATATAAGCTGAAAAGATAAGGCTGTGGGAGACTGTATTACTGTCGAATTTACACCTCCTTACCAGACCTGATTTGGGGGAAGATTACACTTCCAGCCCATCAACACCAGCCTTGGCTGCGGGACATGGCCAATTCGATGGGAGCACAAGTGGCACGTCCTACTCCTGAGCAGGTGTCAGAGTCATCACACAGTCCTACCGTTTCCTTCCCCTCTACCCCGAGGCCTGTAACATTCCAGATAGGTGTTGCTTCTCCAGACTGGATCATAGAGAGAAGAGAACTTGAAGCACGACCGCCACTCATATTTTCATGAGCGAGAAATAAAGCTCTGTTGCTGGAAGCCACCGAGGTACTACGAGCACAGCATCACCTGCCCTAAATGGCCTGAGAAAAATGGTTCACCATCAATAGTGGAAATGCTGAAAGATGGAGAAGGCTGAAATCTAACAGAAAAAGAAAAAGCCAACAGAGTTAGCAGAAAAGCACTAAAGGCATTTACACAAACATTGCCGAAAGTAAATCCAATTGGAAGGGTTAAGGACAAAGTGGATGGCTTAGCAAATGGAAGCCCAAGTGCTAGTCAAGTGATAGATAGGTGGATATGAGAGAGCAGCGAGGCCCAGAATCATGCGTCCTAATAGAGGGCAGATAATTTAGAGAGAACACCCAAAACCAGACATGTGACTTACCTGGATGGATCCAGACCCAGATCAATCTAAAGCCTACAGCCCTAAAAGGTGCGATTAGGAGGCTCTGAATCCCCTAAGGCCCCCTTTTTCAAAATGGTAAGTGTACACCTTGGGGGTACTTAGTGGTTTGTCAGGGCACATAGAGCCGTGAAATAAACCTAAAATATATCTCTGGAACATCAATTTACTGAGGTTGGAGGGGAGCAAATGGAGAAGAAACCATTCTTTTGTAATCACTAAGCAACCTGTCATGACGTACGA